TTTTTCCAGCAATACAATTATGCAATAATTCTTTGCATGATGTAAAGTGAAAGGATGCACCTAAGTCCAGAATCCAAGATTCGACTAGACTGTCTGCACAACAAATTAATGCATCACCGACTTGTTCAGCAATTACATTTGCTGAATTTTATTCCTTCATCTTCTTTGGTTCTCTACATTGGCTACTGTAGTGACCCTTTTTATCGTAATTCCAACAAGTAATGTCTTTGCAATTTTTGGATTGCCCTCTTCTCCTTGACTTTGATCTTCCACGACTATGACTTCGTCCTCTTTGATTGCTTCTCCCCCTACTTTCGGTATTAAAAATAGATCCTGGGGAATCACTTGATTCTCTTCGGCGAATATCTTCACTTAGAACCAAGTCTCTAATATCATTCAATTTGAGTTTGGTATTTCCCGATGAACTGCTAACTGCAGTTACCATTTCAGACCAACTCTCCGGTAGAGATAATAGTAGAACAATGCTATGACTTCATTATCAAATGTTATATTAACAGAACTCAACTGAGTTAATATTATATTAAACCCATTGATATGTTCCTTGACAGATCCACCTTCTGTCATCTTTAAATTGAACAATCGACGCATCAAATAAACTTTATTTGAAGCAGATGGCTTCTCGTACATATTTGATAACACCTTAATCAGGCATGTAATGGTCTTCTCGTTAATGATGTTAAACGCCACATTTCGTGTTAGCGTCAAACGAATCACACTAAGAGCTTGGCGATCTAATAGATCCCAATCCGCTTTGGCCATATACTCTGATTTTACCTCGGTCAGAGGTAAGTGTAATTTTTTATGGTACAAATAATCCGCTATTTGTATTTTTCAGAATCCAAAATCTTTGCCATTGAACTTGTCAATCTTAACCTTCCTTTCTTACGATGTCATTTTTCACAAAAACATTTATGTGAATAGTGCATGTGAATAGTAACGATGATCAATAGTGTCGCAGTATTCTTGTGAATTGTACCTGCACCAATACCGTACTTTTCCACCAGAATTACACTATCTGTGCTCTAATACCATGTTACGCCCCAAAAAGGACAACACAACCGGCACCCAGTGCCTTCAACTTACACCGAGCGAACCACTTAAACCCATCTACCCATTCATGATTATTTCAAGGTTTGAAGTATCACTTAAATATTTGAAATATCGTCTTGAATCGTTTGGTAAAAGTCTTTGTTTTAACTCAAAATATAAGTAGGCCTTTAGCCAAGATACATAAGTGCGGAATGAACATGAAAGTTTAAGAAAATATATATTAATATCATCTGAATGACTAGACCTCCCCACAGTGTCATCGGAACCTCTATGGACATAATAAAATCACTAGACATAGACCCAACGATAAAATAGCGAGCTTACCAAGTATAGTAGAGAATGCAAAAGACGTCTAGCTCGTGATGTCAACTCCAATTCCACGATATCTGAAATATCAAATAAGTTGCCCCACGTAGGAGGCTGAGCACAATTTCATAGAAATCGTACCCCGTAAGTATTATTGACTCCTTCCGATAAGACTGGAACAATACTTCAGGAATACGTAAAATACATGAAGTAAAATATGTATGGCAATTCATAAAATGAATAACGAAAAGAAATAAACATTAAATGCATTTCAGTAAACTGTAAACCTTTTAATAAACACGTAAACATTTCAATAGGCTATAAATCTTTCAATAGGTTGTAAATCTTTCAATAGGCTATAAATCTTTCAATAGACTGTAAAGCTTTCAATAGGCTATAAATCTTTCAATAGGGAGTTCCAATAGTTATAATAATAATGATAATCAATGTCTATATGTTGACCATCCCTCAGTCAACCTGGACGTCTCACCCGAAGGATATTGACGATAGTAACCATCGCCTGGTCACGAGGCTGCCTCACCCATTATTATGGGATTTTGACGATAGTGCTAGCATAGTAAGGTGTCTCATTAGATAATATATGGTACACAATAAAACGTGTGTTCTGTAGCGATAATAACTATGATCCTCCCAAACAATATTTTCTTTAAATTGTATGACCCATAGGTCCTATAAATATTTTCGATAATTGGCTTCCAAGGCCCATAGTTCAATTCTATATGTTGATAAGGTTCCTTTGACTTCAATAAAATGATAATCTTTTTTAATATATCTCGATAAATTGTAAAATCACAAGATAATGAGTTTCAATATTTGTTACAATCACTTGATCCAAGTAAATGAAAAATTATGATTTAAAGTGCCACTATTCAATAAAAGACAATAAATGACCAACAATACAATTTATGCATGTACGATATCAATCTATAACATTTACAATTTAACTTCATCAATTCAAGTTCAAACAATTAATCATAACTCTTTTTCGGGCTCATAATCGGCATCAAGCCATCCAATATCCTTATTTTCGATTACTCCCACAATTTAATTAACTCCAAAATGTCATTTTAAAGCAAGTATCAACTTAAAGAGATTATTAGAATCATTATTTAACTCAATCCTTATCCCTAGTTATAATTCATCATCCCCTTCCTTAGCTCTTTAATGTCAAGAACACCCATTTTGGGGTTATTTTAATATCAAATTCCCATCACCTTTTAATACTCAATAACATCATTTGAACTTCATAATTGAAGAGGGAGCGGTAGAATAACCTTGTTGTAGAAAAATCTAGCCTTTTCCCTCTTTTGTGTTCTTGAATAATTTCTTTACAAATCTAGGATTTCAATGAGTTGGGTGTTAATACTTATATTAAATGAATGAAATCTACTCAAAATCACCATTTAGTACTCACCTAGAACTTCAATAAATGTGCCGCTATTGCATAGCAGATGAGCTGATACGCTGCTCTTTCTTCTCTAAACAAGAATGGCCCAAAGAAGAATCTTGCCTCCACTTTACAAAATTGAATGGTCTGCGTCCGTCGTCCAGTGGGTATAGTTTTGAGCTTACGAGCTCACTTGCCGTGCTTGATTCCACCATCCTTTTGGATCTGATTTCCCTTATCAGATTATGTGTTACATGTTATTATCTTGATAGCTAAGTGAGGCTTAGTGTTCACACTAAACAGAATAAATATGCCAATTTCTTAACTATCAATTATGTGGGCACCTTAGTGGGCTTGACCATAAATTCTCAACGTGTAAAGCTCAAGACTTCAATCTATTTTAGTGGCTTCACAGTGAAAGTTGGCAATATTTATGCTGGAATGTATTTTATAATACAATGTATTTTACTCCAAATCTCAAGTTTTGATTCATTTGGCCATTTAACTATTTCAAATCACGTCTAATCAATACCATAAATATATTTACATATTTTCATGCACTCTCGTGTGAGTTAGGATACACTTAAAGTCACTATAAACATGTCACTAAAGTTATAATTGGCTCAAATAAACGTCAAAAATTTATGGGGCTTTATATACCAGTTGTTGAGAAGCGTGTTAGGCTAATAGAAGGGAAAAAATATTCAAAAGAGAAAAATAATAAATTGCACAAGACAAGACAAAATTTACGGCAATTTTTACCTACTCTACGGTCACACAAAGAATAACTCAATTGAAGAGGAAGAAGAAGTTGATGAATGATATACAACTGAAGGAGGGGATGCCTATTTATAGGCAGAACGTCTGCTGAAATAAAATTTTCAGCCAATGTGAATACGAAGAGGATGGCACCGCAAATTGCGCATCGAATTCTTTTTTGACATTTGTAGCCTGCCAACTTTGACTTTTCCAAGTTTTCTTTCTTCCCTTTTTCTATCTCTTCTTTTACACCTTTTGTTTTTCCAGGTTTTCTTTCTTCTCTTTTTTTCTTTGTCATCCTTCTACGGTAGGCGGATTCAGAATTTAAATTCTATGAGTTCAACCATCAAGCTTTTTAGCATTACATTATTATATTTTTAAAGTTATGAGTTCATATTTACTATTTATTGTAATTTTAATAAATTTTTACACATAAATTTATACTCCGTAATAAAAGTATTGGGTTCAATTGAACCCGGTGTTAGAGGGCTGGATCCTCCCGTCTACTGCTTTTGTCTTCTTTCTTTTATTTATTTTACAGCAGGGGTTTGTTACTTCCATGTGGTCACTGTAAAAAATATCACAGAAAAGATTTGTTTCAAAAAAAAATTCATTTTCTTCAAGAGGTGCTTGAAAATGACCTTTATTGCTGCAATAATACTTGGTACTAACATTTATTCTCTTATTTCTCTCTACTATTCTACCTCTGCTAGATAGATGTCTTTCACGATCACGATCATGTCTGAGTTCATAAGTTTTATTGCATTGTGACATTTACTTTGGGGAATGGATTTGCATTGTTAACTGTTAGGCTAAACGGCCCACCTCTTAACATGGTGTGATATTGTTCGATTTGTGCCAAACCCGTAAGGTTTATTGACTATGTTCGCACGCCCAACGTTAACATTTATTAGAGATTGTCACATTCATTTTTTCCTTGCTACTGGCGTCCATGTAGTGGAAAAGGCGCTGGGAAAGAGTCATGAAAATGGAGGTGGAGGGTCGGGCCAATTCTAAAATTTTAAAACATAGTTTGAATAAAAAGCCCTAAATCAGATAACTGTCCTGGAATTTACCGGCGGCACTTAGGTAATAAGGTGGTTTAAGTTCCTAAAAGAGGAAATCTATGACTTAGTTCTCTTTGAGCTTGCTTTCTTGTTCATCTTCATAAATAGAGAAGGTTTTAGCTGTGTCTTCAAAAGCAAGAAGGCCTCCAATCCAATGACAAGCAAAAAACGGTTTTTTTATGCCGACAAAGATGTTCTGTTAATCAGTCCTTTTACCCCCATTCTTTTGGGAATTGAATGGAGATTATGTTTTTTTTCATTGCTACAGGAAGAAGTCACTGGTCGTTAGCTAATTTTACGTTCTTTTTGTTGTTTTTCTGTTACATGTCCAATCCCTATATAAAGGTTAATTTTTATAAATCAGAGATGTTCGGACATCATTCATTTCTTTGTCTTTTCTTATCTACATATTCTTAACTCCGTTTTTTGGTCAAATCATAATTGGCCTCTCTGTTTTCTTGTTTGATTTTTCTGTGCAACACTTCTTGATACAAACAGCCACCAACTCTTCTCATCCGCATATAAGGTTAGATTACCAATTTGTTAATTCATCTGCTGGTTTTAAGCCTTTTAATTTTGTTATATTAGTCAATGTGTGCAAGAGTGGGTAAATAACTCTGTTTCCGTTTTTATTGCTCTGCCACAACTATTTTTAGCTCATAACTGTGAATATTTACTTATTAGTATGCTGAAATCCGCATGTTTAGCTTTGACATATTATCTTCCTAATGGAGTTTTTTCGTTTATTTATGGGTTCTCTCAAGATTTATAGTTGCATAAAATGGGAAGAAACATGTTCAAATTAATGGATGTTTAAAATAAAAGAAGAATTTGTGTTCGCGTAAAAATATACTCCTATTTAAATTTTCTTCACACAAGTGGTACAAAGTAAGTTCATACGATCTATGTGGAAATAGCACCAAAAAAGATACTATACAGTACTTCACCAAAAAAGTAAGTTCATATTCCTTCCGTTTCGGTTGATGTGAACTTATTTTCTTTTTGGTCCATTCAAAAAAGAAAGACCATTTTCTAAATTTGGAAACAATTTAGCTTAAATTTACAAAGTTTTTATAACCACACAAATAATCTCAACCCCTTTTGATTTGTTTAGGACCACAAATTCAAAAAGTCTTTATTTTTTCTTAAACTCCGTGCCCCGGAACGGAGAGAGTATATGATAATGTTGATAGTACATTGGGCTAATTGTGAATATTTACATAACCAGGATGTTTGCGTATATTGCAGGAAATAATTTGAGCAAAATGACAAGTAATACGGAGAGTTATTCACGAGAAGAAATTGTAACTGACATTCTATCGAGATTACCTGTGAAATCACTGTTGCGATTCAAATGTGTTAGTAAAAGTTGGTGTGATCTCGTCAAAAGCTCAAGTTTTATCAGAAAGCACTGCGATAGCCCAAGTAATCATACCCGTCCAGTGGTTTGCAAGTTCGGTGTTGACTACAATCATGATCCCGAACCTCTACGGGCTTTTAATTTTTTCGTGCTACCTGAGAAAATGTACGCAGGATGTGTCCCTATACATCAGAGGCTTTATCGTTGCGAAGGCGTAACTGATTTCAGAAGTATTTCTGGTCCAGTTGATGGGTTGTTCGTATTAGAGAAAGGACATTATCTAGAAAATGTTCGGTTTGCTTGGTGGAATCCTGCAACCAAAGAGTGCAGGCTTATTCCCAAGTTTAATTTTGAGCTTCTAAATTCTTTCGACGATCACAGCCGTACAGTGGGATTAGGATTAGACCTAGTGAATCAAGACTATAAACTTATATGGATGCGAGTATTTTACGATGATGAAAAAAACGATGTTTATCCTAAGGTGTTTACTGCTGTCTATTCATTGAACAACGACTCGTGGAAGTTGATAGAGCCTGATTTACCTCACGACACTCACTTATGTGTGTCGCTTGATTGTACTTATTTGAACGGACTTTATTATTGGATGTCCCTTAGCAAGGAGAACATTTGTTATCACCTTAATAGCATTGCCACAGATGGATGAAGCTACTCTATTTTGTACAGTTTGTTATAACTAAGTTCAGCACTGACTTGTGTGTTGCTTCTTGAATTGCAATCATTTCCACAATAAAGAGTGCTGAAAACATACTGTAGCCAATAGCTTGCTAAATGGTTAAATTTGATGTAATGAGTTTGTGTTAGGTTTCGTGAAAGGGCGTAAATGGGAAATGGAAGAGGCACCTTTTGAATTGCGCCCCTTCACCTCACCTTTTCATTGTCTATAAATTTAAAGGCTTAGCCTCATTTTTCACACATGAAAAGTCTGAAAATTTCTCCTTTCTTCTCTACATTGTTGCATTAGTTTTTCAAATAAATAAAGTGTCAAGTGTGATTTTTTCCTGTTTGTTGAGTTCACCGAAATTCTGTAATTTCAATTGCCAGTATTATGTTAATTATGAGTTTCAATGATGAATAATAATACATCACATGTGGTGCACGATCACAAGGAATAAAACAAAGGAATCAAGAAGCAATACCATTCAAGAATAGGTTAAGGAAACAATCTATTACCGGGAGCAGTGCAAGGGAAAGAATCAATGATTAGAGATAAAAAAGGAAGAAGCAGCGGAGATACAGAAGAAGAATCAATCAATGATTCGATAAATGATTGACGGAAGCTATTACAGGAAGGTCCCAAATCAAAGGAAAACGAGATCGCAAAAGGGCTGCACTGGAGATCGTTTGAGCCAGAAATCAAGGGATCTATCGCAAATCACTTAAGTAACGAAAAGATATGCCAAGCGGATGAAAAGCTTGTCAAGACCACAAATCAAGGAAGATCAACAGAAACTTGACTTTATTCTTGAAAAGAATCAATCTATGATTCCTTTCAAGGATCAACTCCTATGATTCCTTTCAAGGATCAACTCCCTTGGGTTTGCAATCTCTCAAGATTCAAGTCATTCAAGAGTCAAGAAGGCCTCACGAAGTATATATCCAGGCTTGAAGAGAATATACTTTGATCAAACCAACTTCAATCTCTTTGTTCTACTTCAAACAAAACATTGTAGTCTGCTATAGATTTCTTGTGCATCTAAGAAGAAAAGAGAGAGAGAAAAAAATTGGTGAGGCATTGTATCAATTATAGAGAGAAGAACGAGTGACAAAAGCTTTTGGTGTATAACAACATCAACTCATTTGTACTAAGACACTTCATACTTGAAAGAGATCACCCATGCAACCCAAGGAGACTGGACGTAAGATTCATTCTGAATCCGAACCAGTATAAAAATATACTGTGTCATTTACTTTCTTGATTCCTGAAAAGCCCAGTCGACTAGAACTAAATTAGTCGACTACTGCAAAAAAGAAAAGAAAAATTATAATTCACCTCCCCCCCCTGCACTTTCATATTACAAAATAGTTTTTCCGTTCTATCATGGGAGGAAGTAATCTATAACCTTGTGCAACAACAACAACAAACAACAACAACAACAACAACTCAGTATAATCCCATTAGTGGGGTCTGGGGAGAGTAGTGTGTACGCAGACCTTACCCCTACCCTGGGGGTAGAGAGGCTATTTCCGATAGACCCTCGGCTCCCTCCCTCCAAGAACTCCGCACCTTGCTCTTGGAATGACTCGAACTCACAACCTCTTAGTTGAAAGTGGAGGGTGCTCACCACTAGAGCAACCCACTCATTGGGCAACAATGAGGGGATTAAATTCCTTAAAGACACACACGCAACTTGTGGGCTTAAAAATTATTTATGTTCCCTTTTATTGAACTAACATTTCTTTTCTTCTCTGATTTCTAGTTTTTGAACACAGTGATACTAACAGTTTGTAATCGCAAGCAACTGCCAACAACCGAAGAAAGTAGTAATAAGCATGAATCCTCGAACCATTTTGACTTCAACATGTCATTGACATTCCTTGCAGCTTCTTCTATCATATTGTCACGATCCGAAATTTCCACTTTCGGATCGTGATGACGCCTAACATTTCACATGCTAGGCAAGCCAACGTTGGAATAATATTATTCATTTAAAAATAATTTTTAAATTTATTAATAACAAAGAAACAAATGCGGAATTAAAATCTAAAATATAGTGAATAATCCATAAAATAACGGTGTCTAAATACCATCCCAAAATTGGTGTCATAAGTGTACGAGTTTCTAGAATAATACAAATAAAGATCTGAATAAAATAAAGCTGTCTGAAAACAAACGCACAGCTAAAGTAGAGTAGACGGGGACTTCAGAGCTGCGGACGTTGTGCAGTTATACCTCAAGTCTCCTCTGAGTAGCTGAAATTCGAGCGAATCTATGGTACGCTGCTGGGACCAACTCCGAAATCTACACAAGAAGTGCAGAGTGTAGTATCAGTACAACCGACACCATATACTGGTAAGTGCTGAGCCTAACCTCGATGAAGTAGTGACGAAGCTAAGGCAGGTCACTTCAATAACCTGTACGCAATAATAGTAATAACCACAATAATAGAAATAAATCAGATAACTCATTTTAATAGTTGAAGCCAACTCAGCAGTCATAACCAATTATTATTTTTATCAATTTCCGTTGCAGCGTGCATCCCACTCCCACAATATATTCAATTCAGTTGCAGCGTGCAACCCGCTCTTCCAATATATCCATTTTCAATCCTCCCATATATTTATTTTAATCAAGTATATATAGACTTTTAAATAAGTCTGTTGCGGCGAGCAACCCGATCCCCCAATATGAACTTTCAAACAAGTCTGTTGCGGCGTGCAACCTGATCCCCCAATATGGACTTTTAATAAGTCTGTTGCGGCGTGCAACCCAATCCCCCAATATAAACTTTTAATAAGTCTGTTACGGCGTGCAACCCGATCCTCCAATATGGACTTTTAACTCTGTTGCGGCGTGCAACCCGATCCCCCAATATGGACTTTTAATAAGTCTATTGCGGCGTGCTACCCGATCTTCCAATATATCTATTTACCAATTCATATAGAAGAAATTGCCCCAATAAATACAAAAATTAATATAAAATTTTTAAGACAACATGCATACAATAATTATGATTTAATTATGAAACAAACAATGACAAATAATAATTTATTATGAAAATCAAGTAGAAAAATAGGCAGTTTACTAATTAATATGCTGAATGTCAAGTAGCAATTAATGCACATAAATCAAATAAGCATGTAGCAATTATTGCAGGAATTCAAGAATTAATATTTGACAAAGAATAGGAGAGAAACAATTATCATAACAATTAATTAGTATATTAAAACAAATTTAGGATTTTAAAATAATTATGCAAATAATTAATTTGACAACGTATAGACACTCGTCACCTCGCCTATACATCGTTCACATGCATTTCACATAACAAATAATTTAAGGGTTCTATTCCCTCAAGTCAAGATTAACCACGACACTTACCTCGCTTTTCAATTTCAATCAATTACTCAACCATAGCTTTCCCTTTTAAATTTGTCTCCAAAATCTTCAAATCTATTCACAAAAAATTCGATATACTCAATACGAATCATAGGAATTAATTCCATATGAATTTACTAATTTTTCGAATAAATTCTGAAATTCACTTTAAAAATTGATAGCGGGGCCCACGTCTCGAATCTCGGAAAAACTTATAAAATCCGAACACTCATTCCGAGACGAGTCCAACCATATAAAAATTATCAAATTCCGATGTTAAATAGACTTTCAAATCTTAAATTTTCGTTCTTGGAAAATTTTATAAAAATCTGATTTTTCTCCCAAAATTTCACGGATTCATGATATAAATGAGCATGGAATCATGAAATATAACCAATATAGGATAAGGAATACTTAACCAATATTTTTCCATCAAAATCGCCCAAGAATCGCCTTACCCGAGCTCAAAAATGGACAAAGGTTGAAAATGGGACGAATCCCATTTTTTCCGATTTTTACCCTTCGCGAACGCGGTCAGTGCCTCGTGTTCACGAAGCACAAATTTGTGCTGTCCAATTTTACTCTTCGCGAACGTGAGGGCTACCTCGCGAATGCGAAGCTTGCCTGGCTTGGCCTTCGCGAACACGAGCTACCCTTCGCAACCCTTCGCGAATGCGAAGGCAAATTTCTCTCTAGTCATTTCCCCTTCGCTAACGCGAGGCTTTAATCGCGAACGCAAAGCTATGAATCTCGACCCTTCACGAACGTGTTCCCTCTGTCGCGAACGCGAAGCACAAAAATGTGCCAGTCCAATTTTCTCTTCGCGTTCGAAGACTCTCGTGAACGCGAAGAAGAACACACCAAAAGCCTTAAGTTTGCAGAAACCAGATTTTTCAAAGTTCGAAATCATCCCGTGGCCTATCCGAAACTCACCCGAGCCTTCGAGGCTCCAAACCAAATATGCACATAAGTCCTAAAACATCATACGAACTTGTTCGCGCGATCAAATCTCTAAAATAACACCTAGAACGACGAATCAGATACCAAATCAAATAAAAAATTTCAAGAAAATTTAAAACTTATATTTTCACAACTGGACGTCGGAATCACGTCAAATCAACTCCGTTTTTCACCAAATTTGGCAGACAGGTCATAAATATTATAGTGGACCTATACTGGGCTTCGAAACCAAAATACGGACCCGGTGTCAAAAAATCTAATATCAGTAAATTCTTAAAAATCATTAGCTTGCAAACTTTTAATTTTTTATCAAAATTGCATATCTCGGGCTAGGAACCTCGGAATTCGATTCTGGGCATACGCCCAAGTCCCAAATAATGATACGGATCTACCAGAACTGTCAAAATATTGATCCGAGTTCGTTTACTCAAAATGTTGACCAAAGTCAACTTAGTTGAGTTTTAAAGCTCTATTTCATATTTTAATCTATTTTTCACATATAAACTTTCCGTAGAATTGTACGGACTGTGCACGCAAGTCGAGAAATGATAAAATAGTGCTTTTTGAGGTCTTCGAACAAAGAATTACTTATTAAATTTAAAGATGACACTTTGGGTTACTTTGGGTCATCACACATATCCAGGTGCGGATTTAGAGTAGTGGTGCCGGGTTCATCTGAATCCAATACATTCGATGTAAAACATAAATTTATGTATAACAATTCACTAAGATTACAACAAATGGTACGATAGGTTCAATGCTAAAAACCTTAAAGGCTGAACTCATAGAATTTGAATTCTGGATCCGCCTTTGATCTTATCAACTGCCACTCCAATCTACAAACCAAAGCATATATATAAGATTAAATTCAAATCATTTTGGTGAAATTATTCACAGCAATAAAAACCAAAACCAACATTAAATTGAATTAAAATTTGCACTACCGGAAGCTTATTTGTGATAGACAAAATAT